GCCCGGAGCACTGGCGGGGACTGGGAGGGCGTCTCCGCCTGCTCGTCCCGCCCCTTTTCGCGTCGCCTCCTTGAATCGGGCCAATCAGAGAGGAAGAAGCTGGGCGGGTGGTCAGGCTTCCCAGAGCGGCGTGAAATTGTTCCCGAGGCCAAAGAAAACGGCCTGAACCATTGCGCATGCCCGGTGGTGAAGGGGGCGCGTTGGGTGGTGCCTATGGAAAGGAAGGAGGAGGAAGGGACGTTGGGGCTGGGGAGGGGCGGGAATCGGTTCCTGTCCTGGGGGAGGTGCGGCAACCTCCAACTGGGGCAGTGTAGCTGCAGGGGCGGGCAGGCTCAGATTCCACTCTAGCTCCGCCCTCATCCTGCTGTATGACCTTGGACAGGGTTCTTAAAAGAGTATTAAAAGAGTAAAATCAGAGGAGTAATATCTCCCTCCAGGCATGCAAGGATTGGAAGAAAGGCTGGAGTGTATGCTCACCTGGTACAGGAACCAAACCCACTGCATCCAGTGGATTCCAACTGCGAGCGACCTTGTAGGACAAGAGAACTGCCTCGTGGGTTTCTGAGACCGGAAATCTTTATGGGACCCGCAAGCCTCATCTTTCAGAGTGGCTATTGGGTTCAAACCCCTGACCTTGCAGTTAGTAGCTCAATGTGTACCCCATTACACCTGGGTTCCTTTTAATACTTGGTCTCTCTTCCTGCCATCAAGCGGACCCGACTGAGGACAGGGTAGCACTGCCCCTATGGTTTTCTGAAACCATAACCCTGTGAGGAGAGCGCCTCATCTTGCTCCCTAAGAGCACCTGGTGCTTTCAAACTGCTGACTTTGCCTTTGTCAGCCCAGTGCTGTGACAGTGACACGTTAGTGGCAGAGACTACCTCATGCTTGCCTCCTTGACCTTCCCTTTGGGGAACATTCCAGGAAGACCGCTAAAGAGCTCCATTGTTATTTGTGTCTCTTCCTTTCCCAGCCCCACTGCCTTCCTTAAAGGTTAAGAACTGAACTAAAGACAGCCTTAACACAATGTCTGGGGAGCAGTCAGTTAGCTTCTGAAATTGCATCCAAAGCAGGTGACAGATTTGTGCTTTTTTGGTCTCCTTGAGGCCCCTGGGTTTCTCTTCAAAGTTTGGTTAAAGTGTAAACATGTTAGTCAGGCTCTCACGGGCTCCACAACCTCTAGCCAGCTAAGAAAAGATTAACTCAATGCACCCACAGTGCAGGCAAGACTTCCTTCCCAGTCTGCCAGGTTCCTGTGACCCGAGAGATAGGCATCCATGCCTTAGGATCCAGACACATGGTGACCTCATCATTCCTCAGATTTCGAGCCCTTTTCTCTGTTTTACCTTTTAATTAACTACTGCGCTGTGTCATTTCTTAAAAGTTGTGCTGATACCTAACTCGATACATATAGGCAGGGCTAAGGTTACATAGAAGTCCTGGAGCTGCACTAACCACAGAGGCAGCAGTACAAACCCACTCGCCTCTGGGTGAGAGAAAGATGAAGTTTTTTGTGCCCACACAGATCGACAGCTTCAGAAGCCCACAGGGGCAGTTCTACTCTGCCCCGCAGTCAGAATCAGCTCAATGCAATGGGCTTTGGATAGGGTTTAGGTTTAGACTATGGGTTATAGTTTATACGTTGGGCTGCTAACTGCAACGCCAGCACTTCAAAACTACCAGCCATTCTGGGGAAGAAAATGAGGCTTTCTATTCTCATGAAGAGTTACAGTCTTGGAATCCCACAGGAGTAGTTCTACTCTGTCCTATAGGGTGCCTCTGAGTCCAGTTAAGGTCATGTCTAGAGTTAGGGTTAGAGTTTACAGTTAGGGTTAACATTAGGATAATGTTCAGGAGTGTAATTAAGCTAGGGTAGGGATAGAGTTGGAGTAAGGGTTCGCTTTTTTTCTTGGGGTGGGGCACTGGGGTAGGGCTGACCTACAGATAGGTTTAGCTCTAAGGGTAGAGTTAAGGCTATGTTTACAGTAAGGGTCAAGTTTAAGATTAGAGTACAGATTACGTTTGCATATTTAAATAGAGATAGGTTCTCACTGCCATCGAGTGGATGCAACTCATAGCAACCCTATAGGTTGGGATAGAACTGCCCCTGTGAGTTTCCTCTGTAACTCTTTACAGGAACAGAAAGCCCCATCTTTATTCTGAGGAGCGCCTAGTAGTTTTGAACTGCTGATCTTGCAATTAGCAGCCCAATGCATAACCACTACACTACCAGGGCTCCTGTTAGGGAGAGGGATAGGCTTAGGGTGTTAGTAATAGGTTTGATCTATAGTTAGGGTTAGATCGAGCATTATGTCTAGAGTTAAGATTAGGGTTTTATCAAGTGGTGGTGTTACTGTTATTAAGTGCCCTCTAGTTAGGGTGGTATAGTGGTCACCTGTTGGGCTGCAATCCACTGGTCGGCAGTTCGAAACCACCAGAAGCTCCGAGGGAGAAAGACTGGGCTTTCTAGTCCCATCAACAGTTACAGTCGTGAAAACCCACAGGGGGTCACCATGAGTCAGCACTGACTCAATGGCACACACACACACACACACACACACACACACCACGCCCTCCGCCATTCCGAGTGAAAGGACAGGGCTGTCTACTTCCGTAGAAAGTTACTCAGCATCATGGCTGTCTTTGACCTTATGGTTGTAGCCACTATGTCAGCCCATCTCCCTGAGGTCTTCCTTTTTTGGGGGGACCCCTTTACCAAGCATGACACCCTTCTCAAGGGACTGGACCCTCCAGATAACGTGTCCAAAGTACGCGAGGTGAAGTTTGGCCATCTTCAATGCTAAAGAGCATCCCAATGTTACTTCTTCCAAGACTGACTTGTTGATGCTTCTGGAAGTCCGTGGTCTTATCCGCTCTTCTTCTCTAATACCATGATACAAGTACATCAAGTGTTCTTGCCCATTACAATACGTTGTTTGATTTCACAACGGCTGGGCATTCATTGTGGATCCAAGTACAGTGAGATCCTCGACAATATTGCTGTTTCCTCTACCTTTCATCATATTGATGAAGGTATTTTGGCTTCTTTCTGTTGAGGTCAAGCCATGCTGAAGTCCATACTCTTTAATCTTCATCCATAAGTGCCTTAGAGCACCTTTGCCTTCAGTCAGCAAGGCGTCTACATATCTCACATTCTCCTCCTCCTCCTCCGTCTTCTCCAGCTTCTCAGAGTATTTGCTCAGGATCTACAGTGAGCAAGTATGGTAAGAGGATATAACAATGATGGATATAATCTTGGAAGCCCATAAACCACGCACACTCTCCTTGTTCTGTTTGCATGATGGCTGCTTGGTCAGCGCACAGGACCTGCATGAGCACAAGTCAGTGTTTTGCTATTCCCATTTGTTGTTATATTATCCACCATTCACTCGGGTCTACCCAGCCAAGTGCCCGTGCATAATTAAGAAAACACAAGCAAACCTCTTTCCGGTATTCTCTGCTTCTGCGACCAGCCTGCCAACCTCAGCAGTGATA